TGCACGGGGGGCTTCGCCTGACATCAGGGCTCACGTGCGAGGACAGGGAGCGGGAGGGAGCCAAATTCCTCGTGTCTTGCCTTGCGTGGAAAGGGTATCTTCTGGGCACGACGGCCAGTGATTAATGACACAGCGTGTCCCCGAAGGGGGGTTCAGTCTCACACTCCCAGCGGCCCCTGACCACAGCAGACAGTCGGGCTGTCGGAGAATCTCATCCCACAGTGCCGATGTGGGAAGTCAGGTTTCTCCTCCTGGGAGGCCGGGGCAGGTACTGTATCGCAGATCCATGAGAGGAGACTGGATCCCGCAGTGTTTCCTGTTTCCTGTGGGCCACTGTCCTCCTCCTAATGATGCTCTGATGCTTCTGCTCAGTGCCGAAAAGTAAGGAGATAAAATCGAATATAAAGGAATTCATGGTTACACATGAAGAGAGGCCCATCTGGCTTCTGCTCCCAGGATGTCATCCAGCTGTTTCTAGAAAGAAACCAGGGTATCTGCTTCATCGACATGGCCGTGCAGCTTGCTCCAGACCCCCACTGCCCTGCCTTTGTGTCAAGAAGGGTTTGAAATGCACTTGTGTTCTCGGTTTGAGATGCACTTCCCAGAGGCTTTCCTTCCTGTCCCTGGCTCTTGTTTCGCTCTCGAGTCTGAAGAGGTCCGCTGGGTGGAATTTGTCAGGGCCCCCGGAGGATTCTGAATGCAAGTATCAGATTCCCCTCGTAATCTCCTTTGTTCGAATGCATGAGAAGAATGCGTTTTTCCTCCTGCCAGCGCAAGGACACCCCTCGAGCCTGAAACTGTGTCTGATTGTGCTTCTCTGGGCTGGATCCAGGGCAGAAATATCGTGTAACGTAGCGAGCGAAAACCGATCGCACTATTGTAGTGCTGTTATTAGGGCCTGCTAGATCCTTATTAATGAAGGATCAGATGAGCACCAGATGACTCAGTCACAGGTGAGCCAAGCGGGCGTCGTTCCAAAGCGATCAGCGCCGCGGGCTCGTCAGTGGCGGGCCGTGGGCTTCGGTTCTGGGTGGGCACTCTTGTTCTGCCCCTGAGCGCGGTTCAACAGTTCGGACGGCTCCGGTGAAACGCCCCCTGAGGTTCAGGCGTGAGCCGGACAGATCGGTGAGCCGCTGGGCGAGCAGTGGGGGTGCGGGGCGGAGGTGTCTCTGGGGGGAGGTGGCAGGTGCACGAGGGGAGCTGCTTTCTACACGGTGAATTTCCTGTGTGATTGCTGGCTGCCAGACAGAAATGAAACATTGAAAAAAGTTGTTTTTTCCTCGATGGAAAGAAAGAGTAGTGTGAACATTCCCCCCTCCCCCGCTGCCCTGATTGCAGGATGGGCAGGACACCTGGCGGGGGGCTGTCCCTCTGCGCCCCTATCTCCCAGCCCCCCGCGCCTGCCAGCCTGGAGGGACAGGGCCTCCCTGCGGGACGAGGGGATCTGTCTCAGCAGCTCAAGACAATTGTTTTCACAACATGGAGCGAAATCTGTGAGAGGACAGAGGCGTTTGAGATAACAGCCTGACACACACACACACAAGCTCACACAGATACACACACACTCTCACACTCTCTCACACACACACACTCACACACACTCTCACACACACACACATACACTCACACACTCTCACTCACACACTCTCACACACACACTCACACACACACACTCACACTCATAGACACTCTCACACACACACACTCACACACACTCACACACACACTCACACACTCACACACACACTCACACACACACTCACACACACACTCACACACTCACACACACTCACACACACACACACACTCACACTCACACTCACACTCTCTCACACTCACACATTCTCACACTCACACACACTCTCTCACACTCTCACACTCACACACTCACACTCACACACACTCACACACACACTCTCACTCTCAGCAGGGTCCGGATCCCCAGTGAGAGCTGCAGGGCACGCAGCAGGGAGAGAGCCGCAGTTCCCTGGAAAACCCCAGGGCAGTGCGGGCAGGCTGGGAAAGCTCCCCTGTCAGGGCCGCCTGCCTGTGTGTGGTCTGCCTCCGTCTCCCTCCCCGCGGGCCGCTCAGGTGGGAGAGCGGGGCAGCCGGGGAGAATCGACCAGGAGCCTGAAGACACGCTGCTTCCGAACAGCCTTCCACGCTTTCAAAAGCTCGACTGTCCTCGGGCGCGCCGGCGCGGCGGGTCAGGGCTGGGTTAATTGGCACGCGCTCGTTAGTTAGGTACTTCAGGTGCTGGGCAACGTCAAGCTGTTCCCAGGACTGCAGCGCCTTCCGCGGGGGTGGGGGCCGTCCCGAGCCCACCCAGCGTGGCGGGGATTCATTTAGGAATGTGGAGTGCCGCGGTCAGCAATCACAGCAGCCTTTCTTCTCTTGCTCACACGCAGAGTGGATAGCGTGGATCATGGAGAGCTCTGGAGGGGCTCCATTCAACGGGGGCTCGTTAGGGGATTCGGAGCCCAGCGCGATTCAGAGAGGGGCTGGTTTGGTGGGCATGACAACAGGCGGCCCACGGAACCTGGAGAGCGGACCGAGCCCGTTCTGATCGCGGCGGGCGTGGAGGAGACCTGGCTCCGGCTCCCGGAGAGTGACCCGGGAAAGGGGAGAGACGCAGGCGAGACTGCAGCGCAAGGTTCGAGGGAGGCTTGACCGCAGGATAAAGTAGCATCTTGCACCAGGGGACTCAGCTCCTCAACGCGTGTAACTGGCGATGCAGGAAGGGACAAGGATCAGGCCAGTCAGAGCTCCCCGTTATTAGGCTGGGTTGTCGCCCTGCGTGGTGAAGGAAATGGTGAAATTTCCTGTCACGTCAGCCTCCCTGGTGCGGCTCGGTGCTTCATTCCGCACACCAGTGGCAGTCTGTCACGAGTGCGCTGGGCTGTCTCCGCTAGACTGGTCTTTCTGTGGAGCAGCTCGGAGAGGCTGAACGGGAATCCTGTGACACCCCCCCGGCCACAGCCCCACGATCCGATTCCGCCCGCCGGCACGCTGTGGATGGTCAGGAA